AAAGATACCACTTTCTTATATATATCCAAAAGACACCATTCTAACTCCCAAGAAAAGAGTACTAACATGAAGAACACTAACTGAATATAAAAGAGTACTAACATGAAGAACACTAACTGAATATAAAAGCAGAATCCAACTTTCCTCCAGGAAAGTTGGATTATAAAAACAAAGGATACCCATTTCGATTCCCTTGCATTTCTTGCCTGTTTCCCATCAAGATCCCTTTAACATCCACTACCCACCCCCAATCCACCTTTATCTCAGGATATCGTAATTACACCAATCTTAATAACACCTGCCACTTTAACACATCTGAAGATAACGTAAGCCTGATCTCGAGGTCACCATTATTAATGTACATTAATCTACTCAATAAGGAATAGCCAGGCATTGTTAGAGCACAGCCTTTAGGACATCTATTTGTGATCCTGAACTGTATAGTTCAGATAGCTGAGGATGCACTTGACTTATCCAGCACCCTCAAACACTTAAGTCAAGGTTCAAAATGATGTCATAAATCCTATAAAAATGTATTTTAAAAAGAATCATACTGCAAATTGTTCAAGTTTTGAGACCGTTTTCATACAGTAACCAACACTTTCCCTGTGGCACAACACTAAGAATCAATGAGTGTAGGAAAAAAGTTGTGCTTTTATTGAAAACTATGCCTTTTCTAGAGCTACCCTTCCAGCATTCTATTCACTGCCTTTGAGCTTTGTCACAGCTCTGTAAATTGTAGATAACTGATGGCAACGGAAAACAATTCTTGTCTACAGACATGCAAAATCCTGTGGGGTGAAGGCTCAATTGACCCCCTCCCCCCCACTGGCAGAAGCCAGTTTTGCCTCCATGTGCACAGATTTCAATATTTCTGATCTATAAATATGACTGTTCTTTGGACATTAGGGAGGAACTGCTCCTAATCCCAATATATTTATGTGCATGGTACATGTAAAACTCCCAGTGAAACTTGTATGTTGGCTTGGAAAGTATCTGGTAAATTTTAAATAAGAGACTGGTTAAAATTCCAGCAAGAAATGTGGGCTGGCCATTAAGATTACTGGGAAAAGTTAGCTCTTCAGAAATAAATGAGATCCTATCTAGGAAATAAGCTAGGTGATTTCTTTCAGGTCCTATTTAACTCTGTGCATTTGAGGATAATTATTTTATACTTCCCTCAGCTCCCCAGAGTCAGTGGGCACCACCATCACTATGTGGTTTCTGTTAGGCAAGGGTATCACAGCACTATGGGGTCTACAAAATTTGGTCAGACATGGTCTAGGTCTTCTCCCAGTGAGGTCACTGTGTACAAGGGAATTATGGGTGTAAGAATTACCTAAAAAACTTGCTCAAGTAATCTCATAAGAGTTAAGGAGGCTTAATGACTTTCTCTTCTAAAGTAATAAAATCCCAGGTTTAAAAGAGATTTTCTTTATTTAATCTGATTACCCCTACAGCTAGGCTGGAAACCAAAAAGTAAATGGCAGCCACTGCTCTGGCTTTGGCCCAAGAAGTCCAATAACCTCTGCTCAAAAGATGAACAATGCCAAGAGATTATGACTAATAAAATTGTTCCCATTCATCTCTTCACCTCATTTTAGGAGCTGTGCCATCTGGCAAGGAGTACTTTAGAGTTTAAAATCTCAGTTCTGCTAATTAGATGCCCTGAATTCACCTCTTAAAAATATTAAGTGGCTGAGATCATTGTGGGAGCTGATGAATAAGCCCCACATTCAACCAACTCATATTTTCAAGATTTTTAATACCTGAATCGTATCACCCTTTCTGCCTCTCCAAGTTAAGCCTTTCACTCTTTCACCACCCCTTAACTACTTTTTTAGACCAGCTTTTACAGCCAAAGCATCTCTGGATCTGCCCGTGAACTCTGAGGTACACAAGACCAAAGCCAGGCTCTCATAAGAATGGGACAGACTCACCCTCCAAAACGATGACACTGAGATACTCATCTACTTTAAGTCACAGAACAAGTTTGGAGTCAGTGTCTCTCAAAGTAAAATCTCATGCATTTTTTTCACCAACCATCTAGGACCCTCAAGCATCTAACCCTGGATGGAGAAGAGAGTAACAGTAATGGCTAACATTCAGTAAGGGCTTATTCATTTAGCCCTGAACTGACCAGTCTCACTTTAAATCCATGACATAAGCCTAAAATGGACACTCAACACTGCTGTACAACTTTTTCACCTTTCTCTAGCAAACTCTGCTTTACTACAAAATGACCATTTCACACTTTTCACACCTACAACACTCCCTTCTCAGCCAGCCTCACACTACTTGGAAAGCACAGAAACATTCTAACAGGAGCTCTGTCATCTTCCAACTACCATTACTTCATCAGTGCACAAATGCTCTATCTTCTTTGTATGGAATAAGAAATGACTGTCCTTGCAGTAATTAAAGGCCAAACCCTGGCCATCTTGGAGCCTGTGGAGGCCTGCTGGGAACAGGACTCCTAACACGACAAATAGGTCTGGGAGGCTGTGGCCCAAGACCATTTTTGCTAGCTATCAGCCAGGTCTCCAGAACCAGAGGGAGCACACAGTTCTTAAAATTGAAGGTGTTTATGCTTGAGATGGATGTGCTTATGTGTACAAAGCAAAGAACACCACAGTGACTCCTGGTGGCAAACCAAACAAAACCAGAGGAATCTGAGGAAAAGTAACTTGTGCTCACGGAAACAGTGGCATGGTTCGTGCCAAATTCCAAAGCAACCTTCCTGCTAAAGCCACTGGCCGCAGAATCCGTGCAATGTTGTACC